GCCCATTTCATGCCAGCCCTGTGTTTCTTGATTGGCCAGGCTGGGTGAGGGTGAGCATCAGCCAACCAGCGAGACAGAATTCTTACTGTCTGGGTAACTCAGACATGACATGAACCCTGAGATAGTCCAGTGTCCTCATACGGGCCTCCACGGCACCTCCCTGTCCAGCCCGCTGCCCCCGCTGCCAGACCTGCTCCCAGACATGCCCAGCTCCATTGCACCTCAGTGTCCCCCCAACACCATCTGCACACGATCCACCTCCGGGCCTTCTCAGGAGCGACACCACACCCAGCGTGCCTGCCTCCCCCTTCCCACCTCTGCCCCATCCTGGAGCCCTGCTCAGGCACTCCCTGCCCCAGGCCAGGGTCCCAGCCACGGCAACCCCGAGCCCCCTCATTCTGTGGTGTCCCTGTCTGGCTCTGACTAAATCCTGTCTGGGTCAGAGTGATCTGTGATTAAATCTGTCTCCCCCAAACTGAACTGCTCTGAGTCATCCAGACGGCCCCCACCCCCACTGCTGCAGAGCCTGGCTCAGCATGGGGCCAGGCCCAGAAGAGGGGTCCTGGACATGTCAGAATGGGCCACATTCCTGTTCCCCACCCCACCCCAGCCCACCCCCATTTTCCCTTTGTTCAACTCCCTGGTGCAAGACCCCTGAGGGGTGGGAAAGGGCAGTAGAGAGATGATCACAGCTACCCTTTCCGAGCACCTGCTGTCTCCCAGGCACCGTGCTGGGTGCTGAGGCTCAGGGAGGGCCAGTGATTTGCTCATGGTCCGTGGGTGAATTAAATGTTTGTGTCTGGGGCCCAGGTCTTCCTGATTCCTAAGGCTTATTAAACTCCTGAGAGGTAGGCACCCAGAGAGCAGGGTCACAAATAGCCCCCCGAAGCTGGGCATGGCTTCCAGGCATGCTCGAAGCTCGCTGAGCTGGGGCAAGCCCCGGTTCGAGGGCGGGTAAGTAGGTCAGCAGGCACCTGGCAGAGGGCACCGCGTATTTGCTGAGCTGTCCCAGTCACCCGCCGCCACCCCTCTGTGCCTGGGGTCTGCCACCTTGCTGGAGCAGACTCCCACTCAAGCCCCTGACATTAACCTCTGCTCGGGCTGTCCCTCAATCAGGCAACCCCTTTCCTTCCCACTGTGACTCGGAAAAATAGCATCGGTCCCACAGGGACACAGTCCTGAGTTCAAATCCTGATTTCACCACTGAGTCACTGCTGGACCTTGGGCTTGTCACCTCACCTGTGTCCCCATCTGTGGTGTGAGGCTGTGCAGATTTGATGGGGCAATGCCTGGCCCGGTGTTTGACACTGAGCTAGGGGCTCTGCGTGGGTGCCGATGTTACCGTGTTAAAACCACAAGAGGGCTTGTCACATTCTCACTGACGGTCTTGCCCTCCGCCCCAAGAGCCTCTCGAAGGCTGCCAGACATGACAGCCCGGCTGAACCAGAGTGTCACCGCACTGCCCACAGGGCTGCCTCCCCAAGCTGTCTCGAGCCTGCTGAGTCAGACGAAGACCCTCTCTCCATCCTGTCTGCCACCACTGCCTGCCACCTCAACCCCCGCCCGCCCACCACCCCGGGCATTTCAGATACACGTTCCCACGGCACTCGTTCCGCCTTAGCAAAACGGAGGCCCAGGGCCGGCTGTCGAACTGGGACTAGACCCTGATGTTCTGGGCCCACTCCGAACACCCAGCTAGGCCGTGGGGGAGCTTACGTCTAGACGCATGTGCAGGGCGCCCGTCAGGTGGAGCGGCTCACCCCTTGGCCCACCCACACTGGCCTTTCCCAGGGGAGCCTCCGAGTCTCAGCACCAAACCTCAGTCAGCAGAGCCCTGAGACCCCCCTCACCTTCCCAGTCTGCCTGACAACCATGGCCAGCAGGCCCTGAGCACTGACTGTGTGCAGGGATGGTGCTAAGTCCTCATGGATTTTCTGATTTTCCTCCTAAATATTTCTCCTGGGTGCCTCCCCCTCTGCAGGCTCACCGGCCCCAGCACCCCTGGGCTGGACCGCGGCAGCATGGCCCTCGCTGGCTGGCCTCTCTCTGCCTCCCCTCTCTCCAGGAGTCCACCTCCCACACAACATGCAAGTCCCATGGCACTCGTCCCTCAGCACTGCTGTGGCTTCCCCCGTCCCCAGGATGAGGTCCAGGCCCCCTCAGTCCGGCACTTGGCACCTCTTCGGCCGGGCTGACACATGCCCCCCATACACACTCTACAAGACAATGTCCCAGGGAAGGTGGGCAACGCCTGGTTCCCAAGTGGCCTGCACCCCCACCTGGCTTGCCCACACACACTGCGCTTCTCTGACAGTCTACCTCTGCCTACAACGCCCTTTCCCTCCCCCACATGTGAGACCTGAGGCTTCCTCAGGGGCCTCCTCCCTGGGGCTACAGAGTGTGTGTGTGTGTGTGTGTGTGTGTGTGTGTGTCCTGCTTCCTTGCCACACAGAGGCCCCTAAGACAGGGATGGTGCCCTCACTCACCCCCAGGGTCTACCATATTCTGATTGTGGGGGCACAGGCAGTGTCACAGCAGACAGCTTTCTGCCCTGATGCAGACCTCACCCTGCCTCTTCCTAGACAGATTCCTCACCCCCCACACCTTTGTCTACACTGCCATTCCTGTACAGAAAGCAACCCCAGCCCCCAGTCCATACCTGCTAAAATTCTCCCCCATCCTCAGACACTACAGTCCCCTACCCCCACGGCCAAGGTTTTCTACGACCCACCTGTACACAGGTCTGGGCTGCGCCCAGGCGGAGCTAGGCCTCATGGCCTCCCCCCACCCCACCCCCCGCAGGGCACAGCAGCACACAGACCTCAGCCTGAAGGTGGAGGACAGCAGAGCCGGCCAGGGACCCTGGCTCCTTCACCACGGGAAGGTTTGGAGGCTGACAGGGTTCCCTTCCTGACAGGTCCCGGGAGGGAAAAGTGAGTGCCTGTGGTCACAGAATGAGTCGGGAGAAGACTGACCTGGGGACAGGGGGCCATCGGGTAGCAGAGCGAGATGGGACTAGGGCTGGGGACCTGGGCCCCGGCAAGGGCTCAGCGTGCCTGCCTCGAAACCCCCCTCAGGCGATGTTATCTCATTTGCTCCCGTCGGGGGTGGGGGGGGGACTGGACATCCCCGCAGTGGGCAGCCGGGGAAGTGGCAGGTCAGAACAGTTCTGGATTCTCCGTAGCCTAGGGAGGCCCAGCCAGGCCAGGGTCCTGGGCTTGGGGTCGCAGTCTGAGGGCTTCCTCCCATCCTCCCCAGCACTTCCTTGTCACTTTCTTAGATCCTCAAGACTCAGGGCTGGTTTCACCTCCTCCAGGAAGCTCCCCAGTGTTACTCCATCCCTGTCTCAGGACCTCCTAAGAGCAGAAGTGCCACAGTTTCATTTCTCCCACCCAGACTGGAGCTGCTGGGGCCCTGCTGCCACATCCTTCCCATAACAGCTAAGCTGTGGCCTCAGTAATTTCATCGCAAGTCCATTCCACCCTGCTCTCTGCTGTCCATCAGCCTGGGAGTACCTAGGCCTCTGAAGGGGCTGAGTAAGTGTCATCTGGATTGGCGTGCCTGAAAAAGGTACTGGGGCGATGGCCAGTCATTCCTGAGGACACGGAGGACACACAGCAGGGCCAAGAGTGACATCAGGGTTAACGCCCCAGGCCACGGAGTATTGTAGAGCTGGAGGGCAGGACAGAGGCCTGGGCGGGACCCTCGTTCCCACTAATACTTGCTTGTGAGCCTGGACAGGCACTGCCCCTCCGGGCCTCAGTCACCTCCTCCACACTGGGAGGGTGTGAGCCAGCGTCCGAGCGTCTTCTCCAGACCACCCTGGTGAAGGGGGATCAGAGCCACACGCTATAAAAGAGTGAGGCTGTCTCCACACACCTCACATAACTGAAAATAGAGGTGAGTCTAAACTGTAAGGTAAGGAAAAGTGAGTTCAACAAAGTTCTGACATTTCCACGATGACTATCTGGATGTTTTTGTGATATCACACATTAAAATGTGTCCCAAAATCTATGCTTCACCGGAGCATAGTGAAGTGGCCTGCCTCTCGGCGCTCGGGCTGCACGGTGGGCGCTGAGCCGGAGGCTGCTCCAGCGTGGACTCCGCACGCAGACCCCGGTGCTCACTGGCTGGCCCTGGCCGATCCTTCAGGGAGAGCTCGCTCCCCCCGAAGTCTTGAAACTACTTCCATCTGATGTCCATCTCCTTCTTCTGGCCAGAGCAGGAGACCTCCAGAAGCCCGCCCAGATCACCAGGCAGGACCACGCTGGCCCACACGTCAGTCTGAGCAGCCTCCAGGCCAGCTGGCTGTGCTCAGCCCATCCCTGGGACCTTGGGGGCAGCTGCAGGCTCGGGGCTTGGCTTCCCCAGGTATGGCTCCCACGGGATGTTGAAAAGCGAGAATGGGACCCCCAGGTAGCGGCAGGAGGAAGTGTCCCTCTCCCCACCACACACACACAATCTCATACTGGCCCCAGTATCACGAACAGGAAGCAGGCTCCCCCCATGCATCCACCCTCGACCACACTGACACACGCCCGTCCCCCACCCTTTGTCCCTTACTGGTGCTCATTTTCACAGGGTCCTCACGGCATCAGCTGAACCCCTGATCTCTAGAAGGGGGCTCTGCTGGGGGCAGGGAGACACCATCAGCCTCCACTCTGAGAACGAACTCGGCGGAGACCCGAGGGCCGGCCCAGTGTGGGTACCGTGGGGAGAAGGGCTGGCAGGGAGGGGAGGCTGGCTGGAGAGGGAGCAGGGTGGCGGAACTCTGGAGTCTGAAGCCACAGGCTGTCAGCACAGTCAACAGCGCTCAGAGGTCGTTCTGAGAAAGCCTGGGGACCTCCCCTCCAAGGAAGAACATCTCCCTGGAGACATTCCCACACTTTCTCTGACCTCTAGTTCTGACTGAGCCCATTTGACAGACAACGGACAGACAGACAGACAGGGCTGTGCGGACGGCACAGCTGCCCTTCCGGGCAGGCCTGAGGCTGACTTACTGGTCACGCAGAGCAGAGTGTGGAGGAGCCACATCCTAGCCGAAGCAGAGGCAGCAGAGTGGGCCTCGACCCACTCAGCTTCCCCTCCACAGCTGCGGCGGCCAGGAGGCGGGGACAGAGGCGCACACACAGGCAGACAGCACTTTGAAGCACACAGATGTGGCCCCACTCGTACACGGCTGGCTGTGCGGTGTCCTCGGCAGTGGTGGGCTGAGTCCTGGGAACTTGCAGACACCTGTCAGCTCTGTCCACCACACGTGTGGCCTGGAAACAGCTCTGGACGTCCTCGGCGGGGTGCAGCATTAATCCGATCGTCATTTATCATCCACGAGAGTCCCAGCCCCGCTGGTCTAGAGCACACCCCCCGACACCTCAGCGCAGCACCCAGCCCCGGGGCCTGGGAAACAGTTGGCTCAGCAGTGGTCACAGGCCCCCTCCGACAGGAAGTGCCTCCACAGCTGGAAACCTGGGCTCCTGCACCTGGCCCTGCCCTCGAGGCCCTGAGCTGCGGAGGGCAGGTGCGCGGAAGGTCCGACGCAGTGGCTGGCACCGCTCTCTCAGTCCAGCTTGGGCCGCGCTCTTTAAAAGCTGGTGGCGGCACCGTGATGCCAGAACTGGTATGGAGCTCTGACCACCAGGACAATGGGAAGTACAATTCCCGTCATTCAGCACACTCCAACCCAGCCCAGTGTCCCAGAGGACACACCACAGCCTGCAGCCCCATTTCAGTGCTTGCCTCGCGATGTGCCAGATTTCCCCTGTGTGACCGAGCCTGTCACTGGAGGAGGTTTCTCTCGCCCCCGTGTCCCACAGAACTAGGCGATGCTCTCTCTCAGCTTGGTCCCACACGGCAGCCACCAGCCACAGGCGGCAACTGAGCCCTTGACATGTCACCAGTGCAACTGAAGAAGTGAAAGTTAAATTTTATTTAATTTTAAATAATTTACATTTAAAAAGGCAGGGAACTCTGTCTCTCTCATAGGAGTGTGCACACCTCCAGGGAGATACTCTGAAGTGTTAACATAAGTGTTAAGACGCAGGAGACCATGGCATTTACTTAAGTACTAGATGAAAATCAATTTTTTTTTCTCACATGAAAAGCTTGCTTGGCCAAAGTTTTGTAAAGACCGACGACACTTTTTTGCATTGGCTGCTTTGGTCTGATGAAATACCCACTAGTCAGACAGTTTCCTGATATTACAGGGCTGTTCATGGACACAGGTTACAGTTCACCATTTCCACACGACACACCACTGAACAGAGCAGCTCACTGAAAAGGCAAAGCTCCAGCCTGAGGATCTGCCTCAGAGATCACAGTGCAGCCGACCCCGAGCTGGCTCACCCTCATCACAGATGCAAGGCCCGGCCCGTCTCCCCCAACTCCAGTGCTCAGTGCCGCTTCCCGACCCTACACCTGTTCGGAGTGCCAGGGGCCCTTGGCAGAGCCACCGGGGGTTCCTTTCCCGCCACTGTCCCAGAGGGGGCAAGAGATTAGCCCTAAGCCACTGAGTAGATCAGCAGTAGGGTCAGGCTAGAACTCAGACTGTCACTTGCTCGACATTTCTGAGAAGCAGGACTTCACATGTGGAGTATGAACTTCAGGACACCCCAGGAGGCCAGGCACAGCTGACGGCTGGATGCTGGACCAGGCACCGGGCCATCTTCTGCATCTTTGGTGACATCTAGAATGAGGACTCGCCCTGCACCTATCTAAGAGGTATTTATCCACACTTGCTGGTGCCAGCATGGCAGACCCTGATCGTGAGCACACACAGGGGCCCTTGAACCCACCTGATAGAAACTGCTGTCCCCACAAACCCAAACTTAAGGTCCCAAGGGCTATGTACAGAGCTGGGCATTCAGCGAGTACATATGTATCCAAAAGGAATGTGAAAATGACTTCTTAACTAAATTTTACTTTAAACAACAGTTAAGGGGCCAACTCAGGGGACAGTCTATAGCAGGGGTGTCAAACTCATTTTCACCGGAGGCTGTATTGGCCTCGAGATTGCCTTCAAAGGGCCAAAATAATTTTAGAATTGTATAAAAGTAACTACTCCTTAACTGTTAAGGAGCTGAAATTACATTTGGCCCTTTAAAGGCAACCATGAGGCTGATGTGGCCCCCGGTGAAAATGAGTTTGACACCCTTGGCTACAGCAAAATGGACTGAGCTCTTCAAAAACATTAGTATCCTAAAAGACAAAGAAAAGCTAAAGAATTGTTACAGATTAAAGCAGAATAAATGCAGGGTGTGATACTGGATTGGATCTTAGACCAAAAAAATAAAAAAAATAAAATTGCTTTGAAAAACATTATTGGTTCAGCAAAATATAATGCCATTCCTGGGAATGACATCCCAGAAAGTCTCTGGTCATGGCCAGAAAGATGAGGTGAGTGGTACGATGTGGAAGTTCCACAAAGTGCATCAACTCTGGCTGGAATCATTTTCATTAAAGACAAGGGGGGCCCACATTAGTGGGACAGTTGTCAAAATTAAAACATGAACTACACATTAGAACCAACTACACTGATCAGATAAAACTAGGACAGTACTACTGTACTGATTAGATAAAACTATACATTTCTTGAATTTGATCATTATACTGTGGCCATTATGAGAAAATGCCCTTGTTCTTAGGAAATGCTCACTAAAATATTTAGGGAGTAAGGAACACGGCATACGTAAGTAACTCTCAAACAGTTTATGGTTCAGAGAGGGAGGGAAAGAATGAGTGATAAAATGTGGCAAAAAGTTCTCTATTTTACCCTTGAAACTGTTCTGTAATTTCAAAACAGAAGTGTTAAGTTACGGGCTGGAGGGGGCGTGCTCAGCACCCAGTGAGAGTGCAGCTGCCTGGCTCATCAGTGCGTGGGGCATCCTAGGCCCTGCCTCACAGCCTCGACTCAGGAGACGCCTCTAAGTACCCCTCGCCTTCTGGGTCCTGCGAGGGAATCGGGAAGAGTGAGGATGTTGCTGAGAGTAGAGACTAAAGAGGGAGCTTCAGCAGAGGTGGCGGAGGGGAGCTGAGGGAGGAGCACACTGGAGGGAGCACCAGGCTTGCGGCCAAGGGCCTTCCAGGCAAGCCCTCTCCTTGTCCTCACAGCCACCCCCAGGGTAATCCTGCTTTCATGAATGAGGATGATGGCTCCGAGAGAGGGGTTAAGTAATTTTTGCCCAGAGCTAGCAGGTGGCAGACTTGGGACTCGGGCAGGTCTATTTTCTCCAGAACCAGGACTCTGAACCACTCCAAACCCAGTGCCTTCAGACCCACAGATCTAAATCCCTCCCAGTTCATGAGCTATTAAAAAGCAGGGACCTCGGCCCCTGGCTGGCATAGCTCAGTGGATTGAGCATGGGCTGAGAACCAAAGTGTCGCAGGTTCGATTCCCAGCGAGGGTACATACCTGGGTTGCAGGCCATGACTCCCAGCAACCGCACATTGATGTTTCTCTCCCTATCTCCCTCCCTTCCCTCTCTAAAAAAAGAAATAAATAAAATCTTAAAAAAAAAAAAAGCAGGGACCTCATTCCACAAACATATACTGGGATCCTTGCATTACTGGGTGTCATGTATTGAATTGTGACCCCCAACCCCCAAATGAGTATGTTGAACCCACATGCCCCAATTTGACAATATTGGGGGTGGGCCTTAGGAGATATCTAAGGTCATAAAAGTAGGGCCCTAACCCAACAGGCTCAGAAGAGGAAGAAGAGGGAAGGCTATGTGAGGACCCAGTGAGAAGACAGCCATCTGCAAGCCAGGAAGAGGCCTAACCAGAACCCGACTAGGCTGACACCCTAATCTGGGCCTTCCAGCCTCTAGACTGTGAGAAAATAAATTTGCTGTTGAAGCCACCCAGTCTATGGTATTTTGCTATGATAGCTCAGGCTGACTAGTATAGTACATTGGGCTACCTCCTAAAAACTTTCCCAAATAAAACAATGAATGGTGCCTGTGCATGCTGGGGAAGGGGGCTTAGTGGGGAGGGAGCAAGGGAAAGGACCCTCCTGTCCTTTCGTGGTGAGGAGGCTGGGAGAGAGGCGGGGTATACTTGAGTCATGGAACCAGGGGTTCAAGGGTGTAGGCCTCTTGCTTGCCCTGCTTCCTTCCTGCCCAGCTTGCAATCCTGGGGCTCCTTGGGAAAGCACAGCACAGAGCCCAGAACTCACATTAACATAAAAGGACACCAGAGATCACCCCAGTGGGGCCCTTCACCTGAAAGACAGGGAAACTGATGTCCAGAGAAGTAAAGGGACTTGCTCCGTCTTTCCCATCTGTATGTGAGACAGAGTGAGCTCCCAGGGCTCCAGCCCCAGCCCCACCCTGTTTTGACCGTCCCCAAGAGGCACTCTCCCTGAGCTAAAAGTGCTGCACCCTGCTAACGGGCCCTCTGGGAACCCTTACCACCAACGAGAAGGGCTGCATCACAGGATTAAACATGACAACCCCAGGAAGGGACGGGAAGGCCATGTCTTCTTTCCTGCCAACGGTGTGGGCCTCTGGCCCTCACTAACCTGCACTGGTCTAGGGTGAGGGTGACTGTCTGAGGGAACACACGTCTTAGCGACTGAGGAATCTGGTCACCCAGGGAAGAACTCTAGAACTGCTTGAACAAAACCAAGTGAGAGCCCTGACCGGTGCGGCTGGGTTGGTGGGGTGTTGTCCCGCACAGCGAAGGTCACTGGTTCGGAGTCCTGTCAGGGGGTGTATGAGAGGCAGCCCACTGCGAGTTCTCTTTCACATGGATGTTCTCTCCCTCTCTTTCTGTCTCTAAAAATAAATAAAATCTTAAAAAAAAAAAAAAAAGAACCCCAGAGCAGGCTAGACTTTGGTGGATTGAGTATTACCCATACTCTGGAATTTTACTTCTATCACAGCAAAATCCCACTTCCATGTCTCACAACTATCTGAGACAGGCTTTGATCTGGCATTTCCCGAATTGCTTCTAGGAACGTCCAAGTTCTGTGAAATTTTCATAAATTTCATTTTTAAAAAATGCTACAAGTATTTTTCCTTCTAAGGTTTTATTTTATAAACGTGTAGGGACAGTTGCAGGTCACTGGTGGTTGGAGTACACAGCAACAATCTGCCCTGAAGCAAGTGCACTACGCTCAAGATTATAAAGAACATCCTGTCCTTTCAGTTGTTGCAA